TTTAGAAAAGGTAAAAATTATCAGGCGCTATTAGCTCTGCAGTTGCGATTTTTTTGAAGAAGCTCAAATAAAACCAGAAAATTTTCAGCTCCAATTTAAACTTCAAAAATAAAATTTTTTAGACCAAATTTACAATGGGAGCAAACTTCAGAGTTTGATGCAATTTGAATTAAATTTTACACAGTTTTAGCTACATGTGTGATCTATGGAAAGCAAAAATTTTGGATCACTATCTGCTCTGGATTAGAAGTTACGATTTTTCAATCGAGAGCTTACAGTTGCGTAAAAATCTCCACTATTTGACCAAAAGTTGCCAAGGACCCAAAAATTCAGCACCTGTTGCAATTTAAACTAAATGTAGAGGGTTTTTCGATTCAGGTCTGCTCCTTAAGCCGCAAATTTTTTAAGTCACTACTAACTCTCTATAATGAATTATGAATGTTTAATAGAAAGCTCGCAGTTGCGTGAATAAGTGAAGTTTTGAGCAAAATTTACAATGAGAGCTCAACTCACGATCCACATGCGTTTTAGAAAAGGTAAAAATTATCAGGAGCTATTAGCTCTGCAGTTGCGATTTTTTTGAGGGTTTGCAGTTGCATGAGAAAGTTGATAATTTGATCAAAATTTGCAATGGACGCAAAAATCAGCATTTTGTGCGATTTAAATTAAAGTTTCAGCGTCCTTACATTCGAGTGTCTTCTTTAGACTGCAAAGATACCAAGTTGCTGCTCAGTATCCATTAGAAGCTAGGAATTTTATTCGAGAACGTTGCGTAAAAACGTAAATTTTAAGTCCAACATTTACAAAGCGAGCAAAAATTCTCGTTTAACGCTACTGAAATTGAATTATAAATTCGACTACCTTCCTGTCCTGTATAGAAAATTAATATTTCATCTTTTTTCAAATAGATTCATCAGTTTAGTTTGGCCACCCACTTTCTGGAGCGTGGGTTAGGGATCGGCATCAAAATCAACATTAGAAAACCTGGAATCTTTCAATAGTAAATTTACAAATACCTTGCAATGTTCATATCCCGCATGGCCAAGTAAACCACTTGATCCTCAGGAACGGTAGGCATTTGTCGCCGTTTCCTTCCGGCGTACCTCAGCAGAGCCACCATTGACCTCAGGCCAAAGTCGTAATGATCCTGTTTGCTCAGCTGCTGAATTGCCAATTGATACAACGTGAAAACCTGCGGAAAAGTTCACGATTTCAAGCGAATTTTTCCTGCAAGTTGCTTCTGCCATCTAAAAATACCTTCTTTGCAAGCGCTTTCGTATTAGTGAATCCGTCGCTGAAAAGCACATTTTCGGCAATAATGGCACTGTCGGGCACCATCATTGAAATTGGACGAAACATCGACTTCAAATTGTCGGGTAATTCAGTGCGGCCTGCATAGCCCGGATTCATTGTAATGAAAATGCCTACCGTCCACTTGATGCAAATTTCATAGCCTGCAAAAGCCAGTGAAAAAATCGGATATTATTGCGAGAAACGAACCAACTAACCTTCGAAAACCAATCTTTTCTGCTTGAGAGTCAAAGCTTGCAGAATGCATAAAATCTGCTGAGCAACCACGGACAGCACCTCGATGTTAATCCGGTTAAACTCATCAAAACATCCCCAAGCTCCAGTTTGAGCGAGACCGGAGAAGCATTTTCCCATGCTCTAAAACAGCAAAACCCATACCAATCGATTTTCGTAGGCAGCAACTCACTTTGTAGTCCAGTCCTTCTGAGCAATTATTCACAATCACCCACATTCCCATGGCTTTGCCCAAATCCTTCACAGTTTCAGTCTTTCCAGTGCCAGCAGGGCCTTTGGGGCTGCCACCTCTATATAGATGCAGGGCAGTAGTTAACGTGATGTAGCACCTAAAATCATTTGAAAACCCCGATAACAAACCCGGCGGCAGGAATTAGCTGGAATTCAGAAAATATCACCGATCGGTCAGGGGGGTAATAACCAATCTTCCAGAGTTTCCATTGTATTCATATCCATAGTTGAAGCAGGTGTTTGTTTGCCGAATGATGCAATCGTCCAACTCCCGGTCCCAGTAGAATCGCAATTGGGAGAACCATTCGAAGGAGTTTGTATCTCTGCAGTCTGGAAAAATCAGAGCTGAAATACTCACAGAATCCTTCAAATATCGGGATCTTATTCAAGGTGCATGAACACATTTTGTTTTGTATTCAGTAAAGTGAATAAATTAATCTTTTAGTTTCACTTCTCATTAAAAAATATGTCTACTAGCAGATTTTAAACTGGTTTCCGATTTTTTGACTTTCTATAGCGCCAGTCTTAAGCCACCAGTTCAGATAATACCAATAATGATTAATAGATGATGTACGATATTTTTAGACCAAGTTCACGAAAGGCGCAAAAATCAGAATCTTTTGCGATTTAAATGAAAATTTGACCCTTTTTCGACCCAGGGGTCTTCTTTACTCTAAAGTTTTCAAGTTCATACTCGCTCTACAATAAAACTTAGACATGTTTATTAGATACCGTGCAGTTGCGTGAACAGATAGATCAACATTTACTTTCATTTACGGTAAAAATCTTTTATCGCTATTTCCTCTGGATCAGAAGTTAACATATTTTTTTCGAGTGCTTGCAGTTGTGTAAAAAAGTCCGTTATTTGACCAAAATTTTCATTGAACGAAACAATCAGCATCTGATCCTATTTTCATTAAATTTTCAGCGTTTTTAGTAGTAGTACCTACTCGCTCTGCATTCGAAGTTAAAAATTTTTATTGGAGCTTTTGTCGTTTCGCAAAAAAGTTTATTTCTATACCAACATGGGAGGAAAAATCAGAATCTGGTGCGATTTGAATGAAATTTGACGCAGTTTTAGATCCACGAGGTAAAACTTTTTGGGGCCAATTTCCGAGCGCTATTTGCTCTGGATTAGAAGTTAAAATATTTCATTCGAGCTCAAGCAGTTGCGTGAAACAGTCCAATATTTGATCAAAATTTGCAAAGGCCGACAAAATCAGTATCTGAAGCGATTTAAATTAAATTTTCAGAGTTCTTAGTTTCAAGTATGATCTTTAGACTGTAAAAATGTCAAGTTTCTACTTGCTTCGTATTGGAAGTTAGACATTTTTATTCAAGAACTTGCAGTTGCCCGACAAAGTTCACATTAGACTAACGTTTAAAATGGGAAATGGAAAAGGGATTGTGTTAATTTTTCACAATAGATGAATGTATGATACACATTTTATATAGATTCACTTTTCCCTATAAAACGTTGCTGTTTTTGATAAATCAGAACTAATTAGGACCTCAAGAGCTTCCATGCCTGGAACTCAGCTGGAAATGTACATTTTTTCTTCAAACAGCGATGTTATTGTTGCAAATTAGTCCCCGCATTTGGCTTAAACTCAGGCTTAGAACTGCTCCAAAGCCTCCAAACTTACTTGCTCTGTACAAGCGATCAATCACATCCCTTGAATGTATCTCAATAGTGATCAGAGCATTGGCTTTCAGCCGTTGCAATTTCGTGAGATCCTTCCTGCTCAGTTCGGACAACTTGCCCAACACCTGATTTTGCTTCTTCCGCAGCCGCTTCAATGGCTTCTTGCTCTCCATAATTTTGGCATGCACCAGAGCTCGCGTGCAGTCTGTGGTCCATTGAATCTACGCAAAGAACTGGAAGTTCGAGTCGCAAGTTTAAACTGGCAGTTTTACCAGACTGCAGGCGTTGCATAACTGGCCGCAATTCGCCAGTAACCATTTGTCTCGTTTGTTCAGGTTCTTCTTCAGCTCGCCCCTGCATGGCTTGAATGCGTTCTTCAGCACCTGCCGCATGGAAGATTCCAGCTGCAACAGCCACATTTCGGCTGGCCCATCCAGAATGAACGGTTTCACAAATTCCATATATTCACCGTCATCGGCCAGCATACCGATGCATTCTTGCTTATTGATGCCTGCGGCAAATACAGTTCTCTAACAATTGATTTTGGAATGGAAATGAGAATAAAACCTTGATTTTTCTGGATTTTGATTTTGGTCAAATTATCAAACAGCTTCTTCAGGTGAGGCTGAACCAGCTCGGGCTTCTTCGAGTTGCCCAGAATTTCCAGCATGTCGTCGTTTGAAATGAAATAAAAACGCGGAAAAATGTGCCGTTTGGTTTCCAGATATCTGCAATTCAACTACTTTAACCAACAACGTATTTTAAGCTACTTTTATCAGGTTCGGTTTCTGAAAACCCCCGCTCATCTAATTTTATTCACAAACTCCAAGTTGTTCCTGAGTTATTTGGAAAAAACCATTAAACCGCTACTTTGACTTGAACCCGCCATAAGTTTTTAAACTTTTTAAGGATTTGGCTTATAAACGAGTCAAATCTTAGTCATCTAGTACCTTTCAAGGGCTCGCTGCATCAAGTCCAGCTTATCGTTCATTTTGTTCAGTTTGTTGAACAAATACGGAGGCGGCTTGTAATGGGTGGCCTTGAGGGCCGTTTTGGAAAAATACAGCCTGGTGGAAATATTCCTCCAGTCCTCAGTGAGTTGATCAAAGTCCTCCGACTCTTTGGGCAATTGCTTGCGAATGTCCTCGCCGAGGAATATGTTCTAGCACACCAAAAAGACCACTCAGACTCACTGAAAACTTTCAACTTTAAGAGTATTAGGCCAACCTCTAGGTACAGCCACTGCCTTTGCACCTGCAAGGCAATTTCCATTGTTTCCATGATATAAGAAAGCGTCCGTTCCCAATAGTCCACTATTTTAGTGAACGGTTCCACGAACCGGGTGCTTTTCATGGTGGACAGTTGCAATATATTATCTTCTAGGGCTTGGAAGCATTCTTCAACGCTCTTGATTCTGAAAAAACTAGCTGCTCTCCCTCATCCATCAAACATCTAGGAAACACACCTATAGATGCCCCGATCTTTATAAGGCACGATTTCAAACTGCATAGTACTCCAAGTCTCCACAATGGCTCTCAGGCCCTTTTCTATCTGCAACTCCATCGTGGCCGCGTTCGAAATCTCGTTTATATCTTCCGCATATCTGGAGAATTGCAGCTTACAAGAGGGGCATTTGCCATTAAACTCTTCCTCTACTTATGCATTTCCATGGCGTAGATCGCCTCCAAGTTAAACTCGGAGCTGCTCTCATCAAACTCAATGCCGACCACTTTCTTCACTTTCTCCCAATGTCGCGGCCTCATTGCCGGATTCTTCAAGTCGCCCAAGAGTGGCAAAGTTCTGCGAAATGCGTCCACTTGGCTTCGTACATCCTCCACAATCTTCCAGCTGGAAAAAATTGCTAGATATTGGCCCTAAAGGTTCGAGGAGGAATACTTTTTCTCCGCCAGCTCCCTAGATAAGCGCGTGAGTTTCCTGAACAGAAATTGGGCAGTTTCTTCCATTTCCGTGGTTTCAATGCTCCAAAACTCCCCGGATTTGTAGCTGTTCCAGGCGGTACTCCATTGCGCCGCCAATTCCCAAACCATCTCCAAAGACGCCAGTTCCTAGAAACCTTAAATGCTCAACCCTCATTTAACAGTGCTAGATATTTATACATTCTCCAACTTGGAGAGATCCACGCTTTCGTCATAGCTGAGTCCAAAGATCGCCAAATCGGCCCGCAACTGCTCATCTCGTTCTTTCATGTCCTTCAAGCACGCTCGCATGCTCTTCAGATAGGAAAGTCCATCCTCAACCGACCAGTCGGATGTAAAGGGACCTGGAAAAACCATTATAGAAACCCCAAAAAATATACACTCATTTCATGCCTTTTATTAAAAACTCATCCAGCATATGCTTGGCGTTCTGCCGAGCGCCTTCGGCCTGCTCAAGAAGACCATTCTTGAAATGCTCCTGGAAGGGGACGTTGAGGGATCAAAGGACATTTAAACAGGTTAAACATAAAAAAAATGATAATATAAGGAAATGAAAAATGAGGGTAATGAATTGGTTGATTAGGTCTCCTTGAGCAATACCTTGGAGTACTCCAACATTTGCTCCGCCTGCTCTAAAGCTTCAATGTAAATTGCCCATTCTTTTGGCAGGTTCTTGTGCTTCAATCGCATAGGCTGCGGTATCGGCACTGAATATTTATCCAAAGTGTAAATCTGCTCGGTAATCTGGGGAAACTGTTCCTCTTGAGGTCCGATTTCCGCCTTGAGTTGTGCGTATAAAATGATGGCGTTCTGCATGTGCTCAAGATCGGTTGGCTCACGTTGAATTCTAGAAATGTATGGGGCCAATGATGTAGTGGTCTGAAAATGTCTTAGAATCGCATAAATGATCAATTTTCCATTGACTGGAATGCTCTTTTAGTTGGTTGAAGACGATAGAAGGCTGTGCGCAGTTTCCAAGTTTGAAAATTCATTCTGAAGAAACTAGGGGGCTTGAATCGAACGAAATTTAAACCACATGCACAATGAAGCTTTTTTCGTAGATTGCTTAGATGTGTATTTCGGCTTCGAAACTGTTTGCTCAGAAATCGGCCGCAGAAGAGGATGATGCCAAAACGAATTCTGTGGCTCAAATGGTTCTTGAGAAACTTCTAAAAAAGCAGCGTCATGTTCAAGTGAATTTTGCAACTCAAAAAAAACCACGCAAATCTAAAACTTCTTGAATTCAAGCATTTTTTGAGAAAACTGGCAACAACTCCCCATCCATGGTTCACTTTCTAAAAAGGCCATTTATTTCTATCTGGAATGATGTACAAATGAGCGTTCTTGGTCATTTTGCTTCCGAAATATGAGCAAAAACGGGACGGAAAACATGAAATTTTGGCATAATCTTGCACCTAAGTGTCTGATATTCAAATTTCGCTTTCTAGGTCAAAACTACTCGAATTTCCTCACTCAC